ACCCGAATGATCCCGTCAAATTAGGGTGTAATGTGTTAACTTTCAATTTTGAGAACTTCCAAGAACGATGGAGGACTTACTGTCAACAACTTTCTTGGACTCCTTGAGCTGGACTTCTGCCGGTGAATTCATCTGACGAGGTCGCCAGAAGATTTTCGGTTTGGCTTTGGTCACAATGAAGTTTTTTAGTTTTTTCATCTCCTCCTCGCGCTCCGCATGCTGAAAGTGGACACAGTGGGTGTAATTTATCCAACAGAATAACACATATCAAGTGACTGGTGTTGTTTGGCTGTAGGACTTGAATAACAAGACAACGGACTCAATCCACTAATTACTCTTTTCATCACCGATGAGTATTCTTTCTTAAATTTAAATATTGTATCAATGCAATTCATCATATGTCAAATCATTCTTACTTTAAGAGCAAATATAAATCATCCAAATAAACCAATTATTACAGTATTTCATTACAAGTATGTGTCCATATGGTGCCAAACGTGTGCTGGAGCATTTCATCGACCCATGACCAGCACTATCCAAGGACCCCCCGAGTGAGTATTGAGTTCCTGCATGCTGTCGGTATCTCTGACCGTTTATGACGTCACAGTCCAAGGACCCCCCGAGTGAGTATTGAGTTCCTGCATGCTGTCGGCATCTCTGACCGTTTATGACGTCACAGTCCAAGGACCCCCCGAGTGAGTATTGAGTTCCTGCATGCTGTCGGCATCTCTGACCGTTTATGACGTCACAGTCCAAGGACCCCCCGAGTGAGTATTGAGTTCCTGCATGCTGTCGGTATCTCTAACCATTTATGACGTCACAGTCCAAGAAGGAAGAGAGAGAAAAGTATGTGTCCTGTCTTTGTCCATAGAGTTACAATGTTAGGGTTAGTAGTGAGAGGGGGAAAGAGTGTAGGAGTGAGGGAGGGAGAATGTGATGTGCTGATAGAATATCTTATATTTTAGTAGAGGTTTTACGGCGCTTGCAACTGCATAAGGTCGTATGAGCGCCAAGGGGTGGATGTTAACAGAGAAGTCCTTACAGGGAATCAGGCTTACTCTGCTCACCTCTCTAGCTTCAACAGCACATTGTGTGCTTCAACTATCAAGGCACCCCGGAAATAGCGGGTCACAAGAGTGTGACAAACATACAAAAGAAGTAGAGGAAAAATGACGATAGTAAGGATGTGGAAAGAAAAAGCAGCAGTTCCCCCTACGTTGTTCCGGCACAGTATGAGCATGACATTGATAAATCAGCCCATTTACAATTGTATTGTGCATAAGAACACGTTAATATCCCCCCTTTGGGAATTGCCTAAAGACACCTTAGTCAGCAGTACCCCCATGGGGGATGGGGTGTCTTATATGAATATACTGCCTCTCAGAAGCTGGTGAAAGAACACTATTAATTTCTTACAAAGGGGGAAACAAACTAGATCACATCCTATAATTGTTTCAAAGTCATCACAAAACACAGAGACTTGGATTAGTTAAACAGACTAAGGCATTTCATATTTTCAAAAGTGTCTCACACTTCAACATAAAGGCTTCAGCAGAAACATTAACATAGGAACAAATACGGTGACATTGGAGTACAGAGCAAAAGAGAAGGAGAAAAATTCAATTGAGTCGGGAGACCAAACAGCTCACGGAGCAACAGATTATTCTTAAAACAAAGTGCAGTGAAGTCTCGACTTGAAAGAAAGGGGGTTGCAGCAAGCAAAGATATCTGGTCATCACTGGAGGCTCGAGGAGCTTATTGGAAAGCAAAGACTGTGAAAAGGGTGACGAGAGATCTCCTTATGTACATATGCAAAGCATACCTCCAGCAGCGTGTTACATGGATGAATTAATGTGTGATGGTATTAATTTATGCATTCCCATATGTATTTATGCCATTGCAAACTTTATTTCCCAACAGGGATCAACAAAACTGGAACTTTGTACCTTATCTTATGTTCTTGTTGCCACGGCTGTGAAAAGGGAGAAAGAAATCTCCACTATTTTTTAAAAATAATGTTCTGGCGGCTAAAACCGTGACACGGGCAAACAGAGACCTCCCTCTTTTTTTTCATGTTCTGGCGGCTAAAACCATGACACTGGCAAACAGAGACCTCCCTCTTTTTTTTCATGTTCTGGCGGCTAAAACCATGACACTGGCAAACAGAGACCTCCCTCTTTTTTTTCATGTTCTGGCGGCTAAAA